GGGGGGGGGGGGGGGGGGGGGCGAAAGAGAGAGAGAGAGAGAGAGAGAGAGAGAGAGGGAGAGGGAGATCGCCAGCCCGATGCATGTCGGCCAGGAACATCCAGCAATGTAGGCCCTCCTCTCCCCGGGCGGCGGTCAGTGCCGCATGTTCTTATGGCACCGTGGCGGCATTTTCGCAGCCCCGGGCCAATCTTTGCAAAGTGCATCCCCCCTTCTCTGTCCTTCTTTCCATCCGCTCCTCTCCCACTTCCCTGCCTTCCTTGCCAGTTGTTCCGTTCCCCTCCCTCTCTTGCCCTTCCTCTCTCTTTCTCGAGGCGGCTTCCCTTCCGTCCCCTCGGCCATCCGTCTCCGGCCTTCCCTTTCGGAGTCCCCCCTCTTCTTTCTCCTTGCCATCCAGCAGTAGCAGCACCGCAGCCATGGGCCTTGGAAGCCGCATGTCGAACCTCGTGCGCCGGATGACGCGTCGGCGCCCGGAGCAGCAGTCGGCCGAGGGTGCCGATGCCGGTCCCGGAGACACCGGGTCGCGGCGTGGCAGTGACCACGCCGGCAGCGGCCCCCCGGCGGCCGACTTGGCCCCGGGGTCAGATGGCGGCGGCGCCAAGGCCATCGGCAGCCCCGGCCCCTCCTTTGGCGGTAGTCCGGGCCCGTCGTCGGCCGAGGGGGCGCTCTCGCCCTCGGGCTCGGTGGCGACCATGCCCCTCTCGCCGGGGCTGGGGGCCACCGGGTCGAGTGGCGATGCGCCCGGGCCCGGGTCTTCGGCATCCTCGCTGTCGCTGAGTGCCGAGCGGCCCGGTGGCGGGGGTGCCCATGGCGCGGGGCGCACGGTCCCGCGCACGACCGCCGTGACGGGGCCGCCCTCGCCGACGGCGGACGCCGACGCGCGGTCGGCCGGGCGCCGGCACTCCGTGTCGCACCTTGTCGGCCGGAAGCTGTCGATGCGTCGCAAGAGCACGATCAGCATCTCCGGCTCGTCGTCGCTCTCCATGCGGCGGCAGTCGTCCTCGCATTTGGATGCCGCCGGCGGTGGGGGGCTCGACGCGAACTTCGACCTGGGTGACATTGGGACCCCGCCGCCGGGGGCCCTGCGCCGGGGGGCCTCGCTCCGGCGCATGTCGCATGATCACCATGCGCGTTCGGTGCACAGCTCCTTCACGAATTTGCCGGACGCGGTGCCGGCCAACAGCGGCCAGGCCGCCGGCAGCGCCGGGCCATCCAAGGACTCGGCCTCGATGAAGCGCCGGCCGAGCCAGGCTTTGGCGTCGGCCGCGGCGGCGGCCTTCGCCGCGGTGGCCAGTGCCGCGGTCCCCGGCGTGACCGGCGGATCGACGTACTCCTCGATTTCGACGCCCACGCCGCGGGCCTCCTCCGGTCGGGGGGGTTCCTTCTCCGGCCCGACCGGGGGCAATGGCGGCGACCGCCGGGCCAGCATCGCCCCGCCTCGCACCAAGGGCGATTACAGCCAGTTCCTGCTGGATCCGCAGGCGGCGGCCGGCGGCAGCCGCGCCACCTCCACGGAGAACTTGCATTTGGCCGGGCGCCGGGCGTCGACTGCATCCTCTTCGCAGTTGTCGCTGAGCTCCGGCCCGGGGGCCGCGGCCCCCGGCGGGGGCAGCTCGACCAGCCAGCCCTGCCTGTCGGCCAGCAGCGCCATTAGCATCCAGTGTGTCCAACCGCCGGTGACGGCCGCGCCGGTCGGCGGCGGCGCCCCTGGCCCGTCGTCCGACTTGCTGGCCCTGACCGCGACCCCTCCGCTGATTGCCTCGCCTGGCTACCAGCCGGAGGGGGCGCGCCCGGCCGCCGGCCCTTCCGCCGCCCAGCCAGCCATCGTCCCTGTCACCGTCTCTTCGGGTCCTGCTGCCATTGCCCCGGTCACTGACGCCCTGTCGCCTCCCTCCTCTGCCATGCCGACGTCGCCGGTTTTCGACAGTCCGGCCCTCTGTGCCTCCGAGACCGCAGTTTCATCCTCCCCCTCTGCCGCGCCCCTTCGTGTGAACACCGCCCCTGCTTCTTCTTCCTGCCTGCCGGAAGAGACCCCGATCGCCGCCGAGCCCGCTGCCGCCCCCACCACCGAGCAGCCCAGCTTCGTCAACGCCTGTGCCATCAGCTTCGACATCACCGACGTCGAGCCCGCCATCACCGTCGCCCCCCCCGCCGCCGCCGCCGTCGCCGCCGCCACTCCGCCCCCTGCCGAGTCGCCGCCTAGCTCCCCGAGTGCCCCCTCCGCCACCGAAGACATGTCCGACTACGAGGCCCGCATGGCCGCCCGTCGCGCTCGCCGCGAGTCCACTCGCGCCGCCCTCCAGGCCCTGAGTGCGTGCTGATCATCCCCCCCCCCCCCTCCCCCCTCTCTCTCTCTCGGGCTTTCCTCCGAGGGTCCTCCACTCTCCTTTCCCCTTCCCCTCTCGACGCCGTTTCTTCTGCCCTTCTCTCCGCCTCTTCCTCTCCTCGTGTCGCTCTCTTGCTCCTTGCGCTCTTTCGGCGTATGCGTATGTGCATCTTGCTCTCCCTCTCTCTCCTTCTCTCCCTCTCTCTCTCTCTTGGGGGGACTCTTCCCCCCTGAGGAGGGTCATGGTGCATGAAGCGTCATCGCCACCGGTGCTCCTGCTGTCGTCGCCGTCATTTGCCCCCGCCCGGCTGCGCATGTGCACTCCCTTCCCCTCTCCCCTCTCCCTTCCCCTGTATGTGCCACTGCGCCAGTCGGAAGGGCAAGCATCTGCCTGGGCCTTGCCCTGTCCACAGGCTGCCCCCCCCCCCCCCCCC